GGAGCCTGGAGCCTGGAGCCTGGAGCCTGGAGCCTGGAGCCTGGAGCTCCAGGAAAGGAGGATTAACAGGAGGAGGATGGAGGCAGAAGGCTTGACCCCGTGGGCTAACTGCCTGATTTTCCTTTAAAGCTACTCAGTGTAGGAATTCATCCATCCATCCATTATCCTAACCTCTTATTCCCTAATAGGGTTGTGGGGGGGGCGGAGCCTATCCCAGTAGCCAATGGGGAGAGGCGGGGTCACCCTGGACTGTCCCTAGTCCATCACAGGGACACACAGAGACACACAAGGACCAAGAACCAGAAAACCTTAAAAAAAAACTGCCATTATGCAGCTAAAAGTCAAACATTTGAGAGGAAAAACGGCATCAAAACAAAAAAAGGGCAAATGATCAAAGTAAAATGTTTCATCTACGAAAAAGGAGCACATCAAAGCCAGAAGTGCACAGAAACACAAGATTGTAGTTTCTACTTAAAGCTAATGTATGCTATTGAGCATATTTATCCTATATGAACAAAAACTACCTGAACCAGGACAAAGTGTAGTTATGAAACTGATCAGCTCCTCCTGATCAGAGATCTGGACCAGAGCAGAAACCAGATCAAAGCTTCTGGCTCTCAGGAGGTTAAACCTTCTATCCATTATCTTAACCCCGTTCGATAAAAGCTCTCTTGTTACAAAAATGTTCCTGTTTTGGTGTAAAATGACCTCTGAAATGATCTGACTTCTCATAAGAAAGAATTTCCTATCTGTATGTACACAGGACGGGTAAGTCCACGGAGGTTTCCATGGCGATCCGCCATTTTGAAAAACTCTAATAGCAGAGAGGGACATAAAGCACTAGTCTGCTTTTTCCTCCAGAGTCACGTGACAGAAACCAGTTTAGTTTTTTCGTTGTGTGTCCAGTTGTTAGCTAACGCTAGCTACGACATAGGCTAGCAATGCTAAGCATGTTAGGTTGTTGGACTCCAAACTGCCCTTAGTGTGAGTGTGTGTGGTTGTTGGTCCTTGTGTGTCTCTGTGTGTCTGTGTGATGGACTTGGGACCGTCCAGGGGGACCCCGCCTCTCCCCATTGGCTACTGGAATAGGCTCCGCCCCCCCGACCCCATCAGGGAATAAGGGGTTAAGCCCAACGTTCAGTTGTTTGTTGTAAATCAGCTTTTTTAACTTAGAGTGAATCATGGCCCAGAACCAATCAGAGTCATGAGGAGGAACCAGGGTTTGTGCGTCTCCTCTGGGGGGCGTAAACCCGACAGGAGGGGGGCTTTGGGCCTCCACTTCTATTAACACGGGCTCAGTCTACTGGTGAGCCTGGAGGGAAATCATCAAAACAGCCGATTCGACACATCTAAATGCCACCTGGGTGGAACAAGTCCAGCAGAACCTCTATAACAGAGTTTAACCGGTTCCAGGAGCGACTTCTGTGTTAAATATTGGTGTGTTGGTTCAAATCTTCCATCAGAATACTCTGTAATTCCTAGAATTG